GTTTAATCAATGTAGAACCCCCACCCCTGAGACCTGCTCAAACTTCTATAACTTTCTTCTTCTTAATTAAAACTAGGAGGATTTATAGATTTGTTGGACGTCTACTAACTATAAGTCGAGTTGTCTTCAGACTGGAATTTAATTGGTGCTCGACAACCGAAACCAGTCAATTTAACATGTCTCGGTTTCCTCCGACTTGGAGGTGAAATTGGTCTGGTTAAAATTAGTCTGGTTACAACAGTGGTTTTCAACCTGTTTTTAGTTTATTTCCCAATCGTATCAGCATGAAACCAGGTCCCTAGATATCGAGAGTGAAACTAGGGTTGGATACCAGGCACGGTCTTGAGTAGTATGGAGTACAAAATGCTGCAAAAAATTCTCCGAGTACTCAGAGCTTTAATGTTAGGTGAAGCCGTGTTTATTGTAGTCAAATGAGATGTATAACTATTTGTAATAGGATGGTTTTATTTTCATTGCCGTGACACATCAACTGTCCCCAATGTCCCCAGTCCCTGTGGTTGAAAATCTACGGGTTATAAAGTTCATTATAAATGCAAACAGAAATGCACATGGTGTAGAGCGACCGCAATGCCTTTGAAATTGACAGGGTACTGTGCGGTGTACGACGAATACACATCGTATGGTCATTCGGCAATTCTCGACTGTTTCCGTAAAGCTGAATCTAACTCTGCATTATTCACAATTTCATTGGAATTCTTTGACGATACATGTCACGTGACTTGACTCGAGAGGAAGTGACTTCCGGTGTAATTGACATGTAGTGTTCATTAGGATACGAGATTTCCGGTCCGGTGTAATGAGCTGGAGGTAAACAAGATTGAGACTGAGATACAGTAGACCGAAACATCTGACTCTATTCCAGCCTCTGATAGCCATTTGTTGTCGGCCAATAAGTGTCGAAATATCTATCAGAAGCTGGAATAGAGTCAGATGTTTTGGACTTGAGATAGATATGTCTTTCATTGGAGTTAACATCTACTTACATTCTACTCTTGATAATCTATTAGTCTTTGAACATGGTCGAACCATTCGTACTTCTAGCCTTCAGATTTTCAAAAACATTGTTCTTAAAAGGAGGGGTGGGGGGCTGTTCGAACTATCCTGATGGGGCATTCCTGAGCGCTGTCGATCCGGTGCAGTGGCGACGCCAGCCTCTCAAAATTGGGGGTACAAATAGGTGGCTCAATGGTAGGGATGGGGGTCAACTGTCGAGGCTCAATTAAATAAATGCGTTCTTCCAAGCAAATTTTCGAAAAATTGAATTGATTTGGTGAAATCTGAAACATATTGTGGAGCACAAACGTATTAAAATCATATTTTTTGAATTTGCTAAAAGCCATGTGAGGGTACAATTTGGGATTTGTCCTGTACCCCCACTGGCGCCGTCACCAGTTGGTGTCTTCAACCTAATATTGTGTTTCGATCGAAGTAAGAATTCAAGGAAATAACAATTCTACAATAGACTGCTCTCAGCTATAGGGAGCGATGGGTTGGAAATATCTGTCCATAAACTCCGGTCTGTTATGCCGCGGGAAAAGGACGGAACAGGACGAGAACATATGAAATTGAGATATAGGCCAAAGCTTTCCAACCCCCTATTTCCCGACCTGTACATGCAAATTGTAAAAGTAGTATACAAAAGAACGCAGGGGTAGTATAATTCTCATAACATTGTGTCCTGTTATTTAATGTGCAGAAAACACGACACATGTGTACACTAACAAATCAGAATAACAATGAAACGGACCACCTGTGTCGATAGATATCAATAATTACTATATACTATTATAGATAATTTCTAATTGTCTAGTTTCTTTATATAATTATTCACAGAACTAGTGACTTGGAAATATTCAATAAATACAGAATAAATACAGCCGTAATGACACAGTGGAGACCTGCACCATCAATCAAAACATGTATCAACACGGTGTCGGTGATCTTCTAACGATTCCGACACATCAATTGACTGTTCGGTACCTTACAAACTGCAACAGGGTGGTCAGTGTAACTTCTTACCGTATCTTATGTGGGAGTATTGAAATGAATAAATCGGCAAACCCAAATAGCCTCGGACCACTAAAACATTTTATGGAAATAATTGTATAGAATATAGTCCGTGTTAGTTTTAGAAATCCTCTTCCGAAATAGGCCAAGAGTTTTGCATCTGTTCTATAAATTATACAGCCAATGAATTAGAATTTAGGTTTTTATCCAGGTTTATTTTCTTTAAGAGATGCTTAACATAAGCAATTTTGAAAATAGTGGGAAAATGAGAACTTGAAATGAAATGAATGGAGTTTTAAGTCCTATTTTTGTGCACCATGTGGGCTAATGAAGACGGTATATTTATAAATGAAAACTTTAGATACGAGAGTTGACTAAAATTGATTATAACAACAGGAAATCAGGTAGAAATTTTATTAGGAGCCAGGTAGTCATTGCATCCAGTTCACGGGATTTTGTTTGAGCTTCTCGGATGATTTTCTCTAACCGAGTCGGGAACGCGATAATCTTGTCGTGAACAATTTTTTAATACTTCTTACGAATGGAATATTTGTTTTGCACAATTTGGACGTTTCGTACCGTTTCTACAAAATTCCATGAATACGCTACAAGTAACTGATATCTGAGGCCCATACATAATTATCACACTTCAGTATTATACCCAAATAAGATTGGATGATCGGGACTGTTTCATTTAATAATAATGTGACCCACAAACACAGAGAATGTCTCTCGAGGACTATGAACCATCCAAGTGATACATAATGTCCAGAAACAGGCTTTCAAAACAACAATATATCGTTTATAAATTGCTCACACTTCAGTATTATAGTATTATAATTATTTCAACTCTTGGTATTTATAACCCACAGCCATTGACATTGACCCTCGGGGACTATGAGTAACCTTAGAGACCCACATGTCCAACAACCGGCCTTCAAACATGTCACTAAATCGTGTATATAAGTCAAATTGGTCAGACTTTGGTATTATAGTATTATAATTATTTCAACTCTTGGTATTTATAACCCACAGCCAGTGACATTGACCCTCGGGGACTATGAGTAACCTTAGAGACCCACATGTCCAACAACCGGCCTTCAAACATGTCACTAAATCGTGTATATAAGTCAAATTGGTCACACTTTGGTATTATGCCTCTAGTGGAACTGGAGGTCAGAATTGTTTCAACTTTTGGTAATATAACCCATAGACACCGACAATTACTCTCAGAGACAATGAGTCATCTCAGTGACCCATTTGTCTAACAACGGACCTTCAAACATGCCACTTTATCGTGTATATAGCAGCTGTTGTAGTTTAAAATGAAAGTAGAGCTTTTTCTTGGAATTTTCTCAATGTTTTCCACGTATAGTACAAAGCGTCTAGTTAAATAATAACTTCCCTCTCTACAGCGCGTAGCTCACCGACAGTCTGTTCGAGTATTCTTCTCTCCGAGATTAGTGGTAGATTATTTGGTAAGTTTTGTGTTATCTAGAACATTTTTAGGAGACCGATTCCGCGTTTTAACGACAAGTTCAATAAAATCAAGATCTTTCAAGTCATTAGGACATGTTGCACACAGCTTGTCGACTTACTGCTTGTTACAAATGAAACAGTTTTACCGTAAACGAACGAATGTAAACGAACAGTTTACCTATAAAATAATAACCCGAACCGACACAATAATAAAGACGGTAATGTCTTGAGCCGTCGATAAAACCGAAGGCGTGAAAACCTTGTGTCAGTTATGATGTTTTAGGTAAACTGTTCGTCTACATTTAAAGAGATTGTGGGTAAAATGTGTCAGTTGTACCAAGCAACAAGTTGACAGGTTGTGTGCCCCCACCCAACATACCCGTTAGGCTACGCCTCTGGCCTTAATTGAAAGTAAAGTAAAGTTGATATCAATTCTTTCGTCAACGAGCCGTCACGCAATAATAGCGCGCACTGATGATTGCCTAATATGGAAAGCGAAAGTAGAATTCCTCGAATAACGTATTCCGTGTAAACTTCATTTAGGAAATTGGTTGACAGTTAAAGTGATCTGTTTCTTGTATTTGTATCGGAACTGTATTCTATCAACAACGGTACCAATCAAATTTATATTTGTTTATTTGGTATATTTATAACACACCGATAAACTGATGACTCTACTAGTAGACAAGACTGTCCTATAGCTAATATTGTTTATTTGGTATATTTATTACACACCAATAGACTGATGACTCTACTAGTAGACAAGACTGTCCTATAGCTAATATTGTTTATTTGGTATAGTTATTACACACCAATAGTCTGATGACTCTACTAGTAGACAAGACTGTCCTATAGCTAATATTGTTAATTTGGTATATTTATTACACACCAATAGTCTGATGACTCTACTAGTAGACAAGACTGTCCTATAACTAATATTGTTTATTTGGTATAGTTATTACACACCAATAGACTGATGACTCTACTGGTAGACAAGACTGTCCTATAGCTAATATTGTTAATTTGGTATATTTATTACACACCAATAGTCTGATGACTCTACTAGTAGACAAGACTGTCCTATAGCTAATATTGTTTATTTGGTATAGTTATTACACACCAATAGTCTGATGACTCTACTAGTAGACAAGACTGTCCTATAGCTAATATTGTTAATTTGGTATATTTATTACACACCAATAGTCTGATGACTCTACTAGTAGACAAGACTGTCTTATAACTAATATTGTTAATTTGGTATATTTATTACACATCAATAGACTGATGACTCTATTAGTAGACAAGACTGTCCTATAACTAATATTGTTTATTTGGTATATTTATAACACACCAATAGACTGATGACTTTATTAGTAGACAAGACTGTCCTATAGCTAATATTGTTTATTTGGTATATTTATTTCACACCAATAGATTGACGACTTTACCCCTATAATTCTTTCTAATTTCAGCGATAATGAGAACAAACTATTATGGCAACAGGTGGAAGGACGACTCTTAATCCGAATTTCAATCAGTGTGTCATTTGTCTAGAAAATTATAAAAAACCGAAATTCCTAGACTGTCATCACACATTTTGTCAGGAATGCATCCGAGATCTGGAACAGAAATCGCCCAGGACCGTGTCCTGTCCATTATGTCAGAGAAAAGTTCAACTTCCAGCTGGGGGCGTGGAGCAACTCACTTCTAATTTCTACATCATGAACATAAACTCTAAAAAACCTGGGGAAGATTTACAGACCGTGATACCAGACACTAAATCTTTGGGTAGTTTACGAAGCGTGACACCACGCAATAAGCCTGTGGGTAGCTTACGAAGCACGACACCACGCGATAAGCCTTTTGGTATTTTTCAGTGCGTGATACCAAGTAATAAACCCCTGGTAATACGCAGTAAACCGATAACACTTGATAACCATGGAAAAGTTTTTCAGCCCGTGGTACCAAGTTATGAATCTCTGTTTGGTCCTTCGTCCATGATACCGAGGGAAGAATTCTGCAAGAAAACTCTTTATCTTGAGTATAGTACATGTATGATTGGTGATAATGGTGTTGAAGCAGAGTTTAACGGAAAAACATTTACGTTTTCCCTTGTTTACCTTAACATGGTTTTGGCTGTAGACTTCCAAATTTTAGAACCTGTATACCTACTTTTGGGATCGTGTGACGTTAGTTTCGACATTTCATTGGTCAATCAGATGGACCGAGATTATTCTGTAAAACAAACTGGAAAATGTCAATTGACAACGAAGTGTTTCTCCTATTATATCTTGCTAATAACAGAGTTAGATGTTTTTGACAGTGATAATGGATTTATTGTAAAAAAGTCGGAAAATGGTTACGGCGAAGTAACACAAACATTTCAACTTGATATAGAAATTAAGGCCATAAATAAAGCAGACATGTTTTAAATATCAACGAAACATCATAAACTACATGTATTTACTATTCACTGAATTTTAGATACAACAATTTGCTAATTGAATTTTGACAATTTGATAATAATGTTCATATAAAAGCAATTGTTAGTTAAATTTGGAAAACTCTGAATAATGATGTTTATATAGAAACAATTGTTAGTTGTATTTATAAAACAAACAATTATTAACTGTATTTGTAAAACTCTGAATAATAATGTTTATATAGAAACAATTGTCAGTTGAATTTGTAAAACTCTGAATAATAATGTTTATATAGAAACAATTGTTAGTTGAATTTGTGAAACTCTGAATAATAATGTTTATATAGAAACAATTGTTGGTTGTATTTGTAAAACTCTGAATAATAATGTTTATAAAGAAACAATTATTAACTGTATTTGTAAAACTCTAAATAATAATGTTTATATAGAAACTATTGTTAGTTGTATTTGTAAAACTCTGAATAATAATGTTTATAAAGAAACAATTATTAACTGTATTTGTAAAACTCTGAATAATAATGTTTATATAGAAACTATTGGTAGTTGGATTTGTAAAACTCTGAATAATAATGTTTATAAAGAAACAATTATTAACTGTATTTGTAAAACTCTGAATAATAATGTTTATATAGAAACAATTGTTAGTTGTATTTATAAAACTCTGAATAATAATGTTTATATAGAAACAATTGTTAGTTGTATTTGTAAAACTCTGAATAATAATGTTTATATAGAAACAATTGTTAATTGTATTTGTAAAACTCTGAATAATAATGTTTATATAGAAACAATTGTTAATTGAATTTGTAAAACTCTCAACAAAAGATAGGCATGTTTTACAAATAAGTAGGTCACCTATTTATAGTCTATTGTCGACTGCTTAAAAGTTGACGGAGCGGCCACATTTAAAGTTCAGTTATTGCAAGACGAGTTCGAAATAAGTCCAAAAATCATGATCTTGTTGATATTTGGAGAGTGCACATTCGAGGGAATTTGGAAAATACCGTAATCATTCAGTGAAGTGTAGATTTCTGCTCTGGTGACGTTCGACGGAAAGACATCGACGCTGTGTAGTGATGACGTCAATCAAACTCAATGATAAAGGAAGTCCATTAAGGGACGGAGCTTATATTTACATTGTGTTTACACAGATATAAACCGAATTCACGTGACCGCTGTTATCCAATCAAATTGCGTGATACCGTGTAAACGGAATCGTGATTTAATTATTTCACATTAAACTCATTACCATAATATCTCTAATGATTTCTACTTCAAATTTAAAATTAACAAACCCCCTAACCTTATACTACAGTATATACGGTAGAAACATTTTATGAAACAAACCACCTAAACTTATACAGTATATACGGTAGAAACATTATGACAATATAAATATTAAATAAAGGAACACAATTTTATGGTATACTACTCCTTAGTTTTATTACAGACGACGTTTCAACAATCTACATTGTTATCTTCAGGTGAAATATCATTATGTTCTTATTGCATATAATTAAGAGTTTTAACCAATCATAAATGACCATGTATGTACAGTCTGGATAAACAAAAAAAGACTGTTTGACCTTTCTTAATCATTCACTCATTGGAATTCTGCTGAATTTAGCTAATTATGAATTAATTATGGACATGTGAGACAGACTGGTATTTTTCCAAGTCATTAGAACACCTCTACTTTCTCATAGATGGAAATAAGGGAACCCATCTTTAAGTATACGCCCGGCTTAAGTTAAATGAAAATTGGCTGAAAACTAAAGGTTGCTATTTCATTTTCACTATTTAAAATCAAGGATTAATTAAAGAGAACAAAATTTACCATAAACCTAACGTTTTGATTTTACTGCAGAACTATTGATTTTTTGAAAGATGAAAATAGAACTTATTCAAAGAATATTCTATAGAAGTTTATTGATGCATCCTGGGATAGAATTCCTGAGTAGAAGAATATTATTTCAAAGAGCGTATCTGTAAGATTCATCGAAAAGGGCCGTCTTTCTTCTTTTACAACAAAATATGGATTACGGAGTTTTTGGTCATGTTTTCTGCGTTTTGAATTATCTATGGAGATTATTGGTATGTTTTTATCTTATTTTATTATATATACCAACTGAGACTGTGAAACCTTGGATAGGTTGGGAAGAGGAAAGGCCGTTTTGTTTTAAGGAAGATAAAGTGAGCTCTGAAGGTACGATTCTCAGGTGTTCCTTATATGAAAATGTTGAAAGTAGACTAAAAGGTACAAATCCTGCATTTCATGCAATTTTAAAGAGTTTTTTTTCCATATCATTAAAACATTCTCCTTTGGCTATTTCGGGATTGGCCTTTCTGGTAGCTGCTACTGTGTCAACCCTTTCTAGCGGTTAACCCTCTGTCAATTGGTAACTGTCCGGTAATAATACATTCTGTTGTCAATAAACTGTCTCGCACACTGATGAATGCTTGATGTGGAAAGCGAAGTAGAATTAACGAGAGATTCCCACTGTCGCTAATAAAAAAATGTTGCTATGCTATCTTCAGCCTGCATCATTACTGAAGTTAGACAAGTATTAAATATATTCAGATATTCATATTCGTAACGGCTAAATTCTATAAGCTTTACAAGATTCAACTTTGTTCACAAACTTATCTTATCGTGTTACGATTTTATTGTTGTATTATATTCTATGTGATTTTGTTCTAATTTGTATGTTTTTGTTGTCTTGATAGGATGTTTTATACGAATTGCTAACGATACAGACCTGCTCAATATTTAAGGTAGGTAAATATCTTGAAATGATCAAATGTATTATCCCCAATGCTATCCTGTAAATTCAAAATTTCACACTTGAATCAAAGATTATATTATTGAAATCAAACTCCACAATGATTACTGATGTACGCCACAATAGCGAAGCAGGACGTGCTCATGCGTTCCTAACACCTGATAGCACTCTAAGATTTGGTTTTCATATAGCGAACTGTAAACTGTGAATTATAATGTTTATATTGAGAATCTTTATATAGAAACGACAATATTTCATTGTTGCCTTTATTGTGTAAGGTTTGTCAACACGGCATCACGTTTAAGGAACCATATAGTTTATTTGGATTTTATTGTTTGTCAACACGGTATCACGTTTAAGGAACCATATTGTTTATTTGGATTTTATTGTTTGTCAACACGGCATCACGTTTAAGGAACCATATTGTTTATTTGGTATTTATTGTTTGTCAACACGGCATCACGTTTAAGGAACCATATTGTTTATTTGGTATTCATTGTTTGTCAACACGGCATCACGTTTAATGAACTATATTGTTTATTTGGTATTTATTGTTTGTCAACACGGCATCACGTTTAAGGAACTATATTGTTTATTTGGTATTTATTGTTTGTCAACACGGCATCACGTGTAAGGAACCATATTGTTTTTTTGGTATTTATTTTTTGTCAACACAGCATCACGTTTATTTGGTATTTATGTTTGTCAACACGGCATCATGTTTAAGGAACAATATTGTTTATTTGGTATTTATTGTTTGTCAACACGGCATCACGTGTAAGGAACCATATTTTATATTTGGTATTTATTGTTTGGCAACACGACATCACGTTTAAGGAACAATATTGTTTATTTGGTATTTATTGTTTGTCAACATGGCATCACGTTTAGGGAACTATATTGTTTATTTGGTATTTATTGTTTGTCAACACGGCATCACGTTTAAGGAACCATATTTTATATTTAGTATTTATTGTTTGTCAACACGGCATCGCGTTTAAGGAACCATATTGTAAATTTGGCATTTAATGTTTGTCAACACGGCATCATGTTTAAGGAACCATATTGTTTATTTGATATTTATTGTTTGTCACCGCAGTATCGTTTATTTTGTATATTTATTATATCACATATTATCGTTTTATTTCAATAAATATTCATTAATTACACTTTTCATTTTCATTTTAGAGACAAACCGAATTGACAAACCAAAGTAAAACATCGGTTGGAAATTGCAGTCGTCTGGATGGTTTACAGACCGTAGAGCCAGATGGCAACTCGATAAAGAAAACCATTTATGTTGAGTATGATGATGAGTCTGTTAAATCAAAGCTGGATGGGGTATCATTTAGATTTCGTCTTACTGAAGTCAAAGGAAAAGTTGGTGTGAGCATCAAAATTTCAAAAGCAAGTAGCCCATTTGTGAAATCATGCTACATTGGTTATGACATTACGCTGGTAAATCAGAAAGACGACAAATTTTCAGTCAACATATGTGGAAACCGTAAAATAAAACAGAAATCATGGTCAACCTCGATTCCTTTAATAAAGGAGTGTGATGCTTTGGATAAACATAATTGTTTTCTTGTAAAGTATAAGAAATACGACACATTTCAACTAGATGTAGAGATTGAAGTAGAAGATGAAGAAATGAAAGACTTTGAAGTTGAATAGTATCCGCTGAAAATTTTATTTTTCAGGTAAAATAAAGATTACCAATCTTTTCACTTATAATGTTTATATACAAACTAAGAATTTTCAATTGTATTTGTAAAACTTTGAATAATAATGTTTATATAGAAACAATTGTTAGTTGTATTTGTAAAACTCTGAATAATAATGTTTATATAGAAACAATTGTTAGTTGCATTTGTAAAACTTTGAATAATAATGTATATATAGAAAAAATTGTTAGTTGTATTTGTAAAACTCTGAATAATAATGTTTATATAGAAACAATTGTTAGTTGAATTTGTAAAACTCTGAATAATAATGTTTATAAAGAAACAATTGTTAGTTGAATTTGTAAAACTCTGAATAATAATGTTTATATAGAAACAATTGTTAATTCTTTTGTAAAACTCTGAATAATAATGTTTATAAAGAAACAATTGTTAGTTGAATTTGTAAAACTCTGAATAATGATGTTTATAGAGAATCAATTGTTAGTTGAATTTGTAAAACTCTGAATAATAATGTTTATATAGAAACAATTGTTAGTTGTATTTGTAAAACTCTGAATAATAATGTTTATATAGAAACAATTGGTAGTTGAATTTGTAAAACTCTGAATAATAATGTTTATAAAGAAACAATTGTTAGTTGAATTTGTAAAACTCTGAATAATGATGTTTATATAGAAACAATTGTTAGTTGTATTTGTAAAACTCTGAATAATAATGTTTATATAGAAACAATTGTTAGTTGAATTTGTAAAACTCTGAATAATAATGTTTATAAAGAAACAATTGTTAGTTGAATTTGTAAAACTCTGAATAATGATGTTTATATAGAAACAATCGTTAGTTGTATTTGTAAAACTCTGAATAATAATGTTTATATAGAATCAATTGTTAGTTGTATTTGTAAAACTCCAGCGCTGGGATTTTGTGATGCAAAATGGTGAATTACAAGAACTATAAGGTTTTTTTATGCAGTCCACTGAAATTGAAATTAAGACACATTTTTTTATTGGAGTTTTCATTTTGACCCAGTTAAATTTGATTAGCTAAAGTAGAGGTCATCAGGTTAATTCAAATGGTTATCGGGATGAATATTTTGTAGGGGATAGTTATATTAAAATGAAAGCTAATAAAAACGGAACGATAGTTTGGTCTCATTCTAACTAAACTGTGACACAGATGAATATATAACGATGCCCAATACCCTGGGTCACAAGTATCTTTTCCCAGAAAAACAATAGGTATGATTAATATTGTCATGATCTGTATTATCCATGGGTGTCTATAAAAAGGGGGAGAGAATGTCTCATCATGTGTCTGTAGATGGCAACTGGAGAAATTCACTGTTAACGTAAAGGGGATACCACGTGATATGAGGTCAGGAAACAAAACAAATGATCTACAGTGAGTGTAACGATAGCATTCAGCAACATATCTCGGTGAAAATGGCAGACATTTTTGTACCGGAAGTATGTCAATAATGTTATGTGATCATTTGATTCTGGTGATTTGAATAACAGACTGGTTGTGCAGGACTACAAGTGTTTGTAAACAAAGTCAATAAACACAAAACTTTCGAAGGATATGGATCCAAACTATTAATAAAATGTATCATTGGTAAAGCGATAGTCACAATAAAGCATGTAAGTATTCAGTAAATTCAGTAAGTGTCTGAATTATCCTCTGCAAGCTATAAGGCTAGGGACTACGTGGTCACGTGATTTTGATAATTGAAATATTACAGGCTGGTCGATTAGGACTACGGGTGTTTGTAAACAAAGTCAATGAAAACAAAACAATCGTAAGATATATATTCGAACTGATAATAAAATGTATCATGTATAACCAATAGTAACAATAAAACATTAAATGTATAAGTATGTGTTAGAATTAACTCTCCATCTCTAAATTTAAGGACTATATCCCTTGACAAATCACCGTTAAATACCGGAAGTAATGAGTCTCGTCCAAGAAAACACAACGGAACTCATTACTGAGTCAGATTCAGCTTTACGGAAACTGCCGAGAATTGCCGACTGGAAACATAAGAGTAGAGGAGAGTTCCCTAAAGTAATGACGTCAGAAAGAGGATTCCCCCACTTATGCACCTTGCAAGTAAACCGCCTCTATTCTATAGCTATTTTGACAGTTTGTCGACTGGTGTAGGAACAGAAAAACTAGGCCCTGTTATGAAGTAATTTTAAGCACCTTCGAAGGTGCAGTATTTTTAAAACTATTTATTTCAATCGGATCCGCCAAACCATGATATACAATATTTGAATATTTTTGTTGTTCATTCATACCATCATTATCCCCTTACACTAGTGGTTCCCAACCTATTTCAGCCTTCACACCCTGGAGCAATCACATGGACCTTTTACACCCCAAAAATTGGCTTCATCCACACTTGCAGCATGTGATAATGTGAGGTGCTATCTCAATTCAAAATAAAGTCTTCTCCTAAACCAGTTGCCCACACCCCTGATAACCTAGTCCCACACCCCAGGTTGGCATCCAGGGCCTTACACCATGTATGTTGCATCTGTATCTTTTAAACTAATCTCTCGTGGTTCATGTAAGACTGTGTGCTCAACTAAAAGTGGAACGGGTCACAAGATCACATGATCAGTGGGGTTTCTAGGAAAAATCAGGCGAGGGAACTAGCTAGTGCCACAATACTAATAAAACGAAAGTAAAAGTGATGGAAAACTCTAATTTACAGTCATCGCAGGTTTTTTAATCCACCATGTGGGCTAATGAAGACGGTATATTTATAAATGAAAACTTTAGATACGAGAGTTGACTAAAATTGATTATAACAACAGGAAATCAGGTAGAAATTTTATTAGGAGCCAGGTAGTCATTGCATCCAGTTCACGAGATTTTGTTGGAGCTTCTCGGATGATTTTCTCTAACCGAGTCGGGAACGCGATAATCTTGTCGTGAACATATATGAATTTTTTTAATACTTCTTACGAATGGAATATTTGTTTCGCACAATTTGGATGTTTCGTACCGTTTCTACAAAATTCCATGAATACGCTACAAGTAACTGATATCTGAGGCCCATACATAATTATCACACTTCAGTATTATACCCAAATAAGATTGGATGATCGGGACTGTTTCATTTAATAATAATGTGACCCACAAACACAGAGAATGTCTCTCGAGGACTATGAACCATCCAAGTGATACATAATGTCCAGAAACAGGCTTTCAAAACAACAATATATCGTTTATAAATTGCTCACACTTCAGTATTATAGTATTATAATTATTTCAACTCTTGGTATTTATAACCCACAGCCAGTGACATTGACCCTCGGGGACTATGAGTAACCTTAGAGACCCACATGTCCAACAACCGGCCTTCAAACATGTCACTAAATCGTGTATATAAGTCAAATTGCTCACACTTCAGTATTATAGTATTATAATTATTTCAACTCTTGGTATTATAACCCACAGCCAGTGACATTGACCCTCGGGGACTATGAGTAACCTTAGAGACCCACATGTCCAACAACCGGCCTTCAAACATGTCACTAAATCGTGTATATAAGTCAAATTGGTCACACTTTGGTATTATGCCTCTACTAAAACTGATGGTCAGAATTGTTTCAACTTTTGGTAATATAACCCATAGACACCGACAATTACTCTCAGAGACAATGAGTCATCTCAGTGACCCATTTGTCTAACAACGGACCTTCAAACATGCCACTTTATCGTGTATATAGCAAGTGTTGTAGTTTAAAATGAAAGTAGAGCTTTTTCTTAGAATTTTCTCAATGTTTTCCACGTATAGTACAAAGCGTCTAGTTAAATAATAACTTCCCTCTCTACAGCGCGTAGCTCACCGACAGTCTGTTCGAGTATTCTTCTCTCCGAGATTAGTGGTAGATTATTTGGTAAGTTTTGTGTTATCTAGAACATTTTTAGGAGACCGATTCCGCGTTTTAACGACAAGTTCAATAAAATCAAGATCTTTCAAGTCATTAGGACATGTTGCACACAGCTTGTCGACTTACTGCTTGTTACAAATGAAACAGTTTTACCGTAAACGAACGAATGTAAACGAACAGTTTACCTATAAGATAATAACCCGAACCGACACAATAATAAAGACGGTAATGTCTTGAGCCGTCGATAAAACCGAAGGCGTGAAAACCTTGTGTCAGTTATGATGTTTTAGGTAAACTGTTCGTCTACATTTAAATAGATTGTGGGTAAAATGTGTCAGTTGTACCAAGCAACAAGTTGACAGGTTGTGTGCCCCCACCCAACATACCCGTTAGGCTACGCCTCTGGCCTTAATTGAAAGTAAAGTAAAGTTGATATTAATTCTTTCGTCAACGAGCCGTCACGCAATAATAGCGCGCACTGATGATTGCCTAATATGGAAAGCGAAAGTAGAATTCCTCGAATAACGTATTCCCTGTGAACTTCATTTAGGAAATTGGTTGACAGTTAAAGTGATCTGTTTCTTGTATTTGTATTCTATCAACAACGGTACCAATCAAATTTATATTTGTTTATTTGGTATATTTATAACACACCGATAAACTGATGACTCTACTAGTAGACAAGACTGTCCTATAGCTAATATTGTTTATTTGGTATATTTATTACACACCAATAGACTGATGACTCTACTAGTAGACAAGACTGTCCTATAGCTAATATTGTTAATTTGGTATATTTATTACGCACCAATATACTGATGACTCTACTAGTAGACAAGACTGTCATATAGCTAATATTGTTAATTTGGTATATTTATTACGCACCAATATACTGATGACTCTACTAGTAGACAAGACTGTCCTATAACTAATATTGTTAATTTGGTATATTTATTACGCACCAATATACTGATGACTCAACTAGTAGACAAGACTGTCCTATAGCTAATATTGTTAATTTGGTATATTTATTACGCACCAATATACTGATGACTCTACTAGTAGACAAGACTGTCCTATAACTAATATTGTTAATTTGGTATATTTATTACGCACCAATATACTGATGACTCAACTAGTAGACAAGACTGTCCTATAGCTAATATTGTTAATTTGGTATATTTATTACACACCAATATACTGATGACTCTAATAGTAGACAAGTCTGTCCTATAGCTAATATTGTTTATTTGGTATATTTATAATACACCAATAGACTGATGACTCTACTGGTAGACAAGACTGTCCCATAGCTAATATTGTTAATTTGGTATATTTATTACGCACCAATATACTGATGACTCTACTAGTAGACAAGACTGTCCTATAGCTAATATTGTTTATTTGGTATATTTATTACACACCAATAGTCTGATGACTCTACTAGTAGACAAGACTGTCCTATAACTAATATTGTTTATTTGGTATATTTATTACACACCAATAGTCTGATGACTCTACTAGTAGACAAGACTGTCCTATAACTAATATTGTTTATTTGGTATATTTATTACACACCAATATACTGATGACTCTACTAGTAGACAAGACTGTCCTATAGCTAATATTGTTTATTTGGTATATTTATTACACACCAATATACTGATGACTCTATTAGTAGACAAGACTGTCCTATAACTAATATTGTTAATATGGTATATTTATTACACGCCAATATACTGATGACTCTACTGGTAGACAAGACTGTCCTATAACTAATATTGTTAATTTGGTATATTTATAACACATCAATAGACTGATGACTCTAATAGTAGACAAGACTGTCCTATAACTAATATTGTTAATATGGTATATTTATTACACACCAATATACTGATGACTCTACTGGTAGACTAGACTGTCCTATAGC